TTACCACTGATGACCAGTTTGTCATCGCTGTAGACATCGATCCTGAATGGGTTGGTACTGACAAACGCCTTGTTCTTAGTGCCCGTCAACTGGACAACAAATCCCTGTGCCGTTTGGTCCACCACTTTGAGCCTCGAGTGCGGAATGTCTGTCAGGAGAGAGTCCTTCGCCTCAAACCTCTGCCGCAAACCATTCAATTCATTCACTTTCAGACGTATCACTTGACCGTCGATTAGCGCATAGATAATGGCCTGCAATGTGACCCCCGATTGGCTATTCTTAAGCCGAAACTCAACCGATTGTTCATCGGCTGCGGGAACCACTGAATCGCTGACCACAAGCCACTGATTGTCTTCGCTTGGCGTCTGATTTCGTTGTCGACTATTAAAGGCAAACATAGACACAAATACTGTTAATTCAAGTTATCATCAAATGGAGGGGCAGTTGGGGGTCAATGGGACGGGCGGTTCGGTAGATCCAGTGGCCGGAAGTGCCGCACGTGTCATATGTTGTCATAAATATTGCAAACAATGGCCACGAAATTGATGATAAAATACACGTAAAAAGTATTGAAAGCAATCAAAAGTTAGTGAAACTAATGGCTCGTGAGGGGTGTATGGGGTGTGAGTGGGAGGGGAGTGGGAGGGGAGGTGTGGGGGTGTGTGGCGTACGTACCGACAGAAGCCGGTCTGATCGCAGGTCTTAAAGTTGTTGCGATCGACACAATCGACGGACAGACTGATGGCTAAGACACAGACAAACACATGGAGTGAATGCATGACTGCATGCATAGGAGTGCACCACAAATACGGCTAACAATCGGTTTAATAGTAATTGTATTGAAAACTAATGATACAATCGATGGTTGAATGGTATGTGAAGTGAAGTGAAGAACACGTAATAATAGTATTGTTTATTGCATTCAATCCATTCACTCGTCTCCAGCATTGGGCGACACATCAATTATGTCATCACTTGTCTCAGTCCAGCGGCTATTGGGCTTTGAAAATGAGCTGGGTCATAGGCATTGTGCTCCATTCTAATTATCATAGTGATTAACCCTGGTGTCATTTCATTAATATGCCATGCTCTGATTTTCTATGTAAAGTTTAGGTATGTAATGTATGGTCGCAATGAAGTTCCCCTTAAGTCTAATACAATTTGCATTATTTATGATGTTAATTAAGATAACACACAGTTGTCAATGGCAATGAGAGAATGTGCATGGTCATAAAAGTTGTGGCAAACTTTTTAAAACATATTTCAAGTTTATCTCAAATAATATTAGACTAAACATAATGAACAGCACTCATAGCCTGGCATTGATTGCATAATATGTGTTATGGAAAGTTGAAGGGAACTCTGTACCTTTAATGTTTTACAATTATTAGCATTGAATGCTTGATTTTTATTGTATAAATATCCCAATAAAGTTTATTTAATAAACCTAATCAATATTAAATTAACACTGTATCATTCATTAAGAGTACAGAGTTGCCTTCAACTTTCCATAACACATAACACATTATAATATGAATGATAGGCACATAACTCCTATTTACGGACACATATAATACTTCTGAATTAGAAGTTCTAATTATTACAATCTAATACATTAGTGAACAAAAATTGCACCCAGCTCATGTAGAACAGGTGCATGGCATGTTGCGCAGGTAGGCGCATATATAGTCTATCAAAAGTTATTGTAATACACTAATTTCTATCAAATTACATGGCATTCATTTATTTGTAGATAACAAAAGTTGTATTATATTTGTTTTTGTCAAATGTTTTTACAAAAATAGTTTAAATGCGTGATTAAAATATAAATATTTAACTTTTAAATACTAATAACTCCCATCCCTTCTAACAAAACCAATTGACCGTGGTGATGTTTTCGAGCAAATGCATGTTAATGGAAAGTTATTGTGCATTATTTCTTATGAAGCAATAAATTAAGAAATTTTAGACAATCATTGCATTTCTCCGTCAATACAAACAGTAATCTGTGATTAAAATTAGTATTTTAATGTAACTATTGTATTGCAACGCGAATAATATTCTGTGTATTCATAGACTGTATTCAAAAAGTGTATTGTATTCTTGCATTCATTTCAAATAACTGTAAATTTGAGAATTTATTGTCAGTTTTGGTCAAAAGTTTAGGAAAACAGTTAAATATATTCTGTGATCAAAATGAAGAGTTTCTTAATTATAAGTTTCGTATTGTATTATACATTGAGATTCAATGGACGAGTGAATGGTTTTAACAGTGATTTCGCGAAACTAGAGAATCTCTTAACGCGAGAGAAAGCAATGATTGAGTCGTTGAGTGAATATTTGGTGTCCGAAGAGGTCATCAATTCTCGCTTAAGACGACTGACAGACAACTCATTGAGTTTGAACTCAATTGCACTGAAGGACGACAACGAGGGCTCACTTTTAGGACATCCACTCGACGTATATCTCCTCATCAGACGAATGGCTATCGACTGGAAAGATGTGAAGGATTTGTTGCGAACCAAAGACCAGCGCTTAAGTGATGTCCAAATCAGACAAATCGGTGGTCACTCTAACCATACATTTGACTCGCAGTTAGTGTCCAGTAGTCATGAGATGATCACTAATACAGAGCTAAAAGGTATTCAAAGAAGTCTTTCTGTAGTTAATAGAGATGTTAATGAAATTTATTGACAACCTGTGGACAGACGCGGCGTTTGGAGTGATAAGTCTCGTCAATACTTATGATTTGGATATCAAGTCATTAGCGAATGGATTCATTAGATCTAAGACCATATCCGGTGCTGAAGTGACTTCAAATGGAAATCAATATAAGTTTGCTTTAAATGCTTTCGACTGCTATTTGATTGGAAAACAAACTTTTGATAACAAGGAGTACTTGAATGCAAAGCAATGGTTGACAGAAGCCGTCGATAGATTGGATGACACGACCAGCGATGAGATAATTGCAGACATTTTCAATTATCTGTCGTTTTGTGAACTGAAAATTGGAAAACCAAGTGAAGCCCAAAAATATAAGAGACTGTCGGCCGCTATAAAGCCAAACATCGAGACAAATGAATTGATATCAGAGATGAAAGTGTTTAACGACACGAATACCACTTCTTCTGATCTCAAAGATAAACCGATTTATCATTCATTTTCAAATACATATGAATTATGTCGAGGAGAAAGACTTCTGAATGACTCGATTGTCTCGAAATTCAAGTGCTTTTACTTAAACACAACGAAAACACCGTTTTTACGGTTGACTCGCATTAAAGTGGAAGAGATGTACAAAAGTCCGCAAATTGTGTTAATCCATGACTTCCTGTCGGAATACGAGACACAAACTATGATCTCTTTGGCTCAGCCATCAATTGACAAGTTATACGTCGCGGGAACTGATGGTAAAAGTGATGTCAAGAAAGTTAATATCCGACTCGCGAAGGGTAGTTGGCTTTGGGACCGTCAACACAAACTCGTGGACACAATCAGCCGACGTATCGGTGCTATCACTAGCCTTAACATGGAGTTCGCCGAAGCATACAATGCTATTAAGTATAGTGTCGGAGGGTTTTATGACTACCACTACGACACGTTTAACGTCAAACCTAACGTATCATTCACCGAATGGGAGCGCATCGCCACGTGGATCAACTACCTGAGCGATGTGGATGCCGGTGGGGCCACGATATTCCCGTATCTCAATGTCACGGTATTCCCAAAGAGATCTTCGGCAGTGTTTTGGTATAATCTGTACAATAAACTGCATGGCGTATAGTTTTAATGATTTTTAAAACTCATATCTGAATCAACCCCCACACGAGCCATTAGTTTCACTAACTTTTGGTTGCTTTCAATACTTTTACGTGTATTTTATCATCAATTTCGTGGCCATTGTTTGCAATATTTATGACAACATATAACACGTGCGGCACTTCCGGCCACTGGATCTACTGAACCGCCCGTCCCATTGCCACCCAACTGCCCCTCCATTTGATGATACTTTGTGTCCACTTTTTATGATAACTTGTATTAACAGTATTTGTGTCTATGTTTGCCTTTAATAGTCGACAACGAAATCAGACGCCAAACGAAGACAATCAGTGGCTTGTGGTCAGCGATTCAGTGGTTCCCGCAGCCGATGAACAGTCGGTTGAGTTTCGGCTTAAGAATAGCCAATCGGGGGTCACATTGCAGGCCATTATCTATGCGCTAATCGAGGGTCAAGTGATACGTCTGAAAGTGAATGAATTGAATGGTTTGCGGCAGAGGTTTGAGGCGAAGGACTCTCTCCTGACAGACATTCCGCACTCGAGGCTCCAAGTGGTGGACCAAACGGCACAGGGATTTGTTGTCCAGTTGACGGGCACTAAGAACAAGGCGTTTGTCAGTACCAACCCATTCAGGATCGATGTCTACAGCGATGACAAACTGGTCATCAGTGGTAACCAGAGAGGACTCTTCAAGTTTGAGTACTCGCGACCCAAACCTCAAGGTATTCACTCATTGGTTGCCTTTCCTCTCCAATGTCTCTCTTATTGTCATTTTATTTGATTCTTTGAATTAATTGACAAAAAGTTGAAGAAATTCTTGTAAAATGCTCTAAAATTATGTCTAAATGTCTGGTCAGATGGTTATCAATATACAAATGATGATAAGACTGATCCGTACTATAATCCAGAAGTGGATGATTCACTTGATTATGTTGATGAATATGAGGCTAATGAGGCTGAGGCTGACGGTGCGATTGATTCACATTTTTATCTCACAGTGTGTCCACAAACTATTCATTGATTTGCTTTTCGGGTCTCTCTCTCTCTTTCTCTCTCTCTCTCTCCTCTCTCTCTCTCTCCTCTCTCGTGATAAAAGTTTAGATAAAATTCTTTATACCATAAAAAACCTAAAACTCAGACAACGACCGCAAAACTTATCAATGAATAGTCAATAATTGCACCAAAATATTCTCATAGGCTATGAAATTAATTCTAATTTAATATTAATTAATTAATTATTAGAAATTATTTAATGTTTAGAATATTTTAGAAATTATTTTCTGTATTAAACTTTTGCATTGAATTGAAATAATTGTGTGAATTGTGGACACAATAGAAGCTAACGCTGAGAATGAGGGCCAACAACAACCGGCACAACCCCTCGAGGAATGCACTGACAGTTGTTGGGATGAGCCCTTCAAATCACATACCGATACCAAGCCGTACGGCCCGATGTCAGTGGGCTG